AAACCCTAAACAAAGAAACCCAAGAAGGTTCATGTTTTACGAGAAGCTGGTGGCTCAGCTCAGCGTCATCTACACCACCATCGTTGAGAGCAGGACGGGGTCTCCCCCCCACTCCATGAGACCCCGGGATGTCGGGATGTCTAGGGTTCGGGTTTAGGGTTTAGGGTTTAGGGTTTAGGGTTTAGGGTTTAGGGTTTAGGGTTTAGGGTTTAGGGTTTAGGGTTTAGGGTTTAGGGTTTAGGGTTTAGGGCTTAGGGTTTAGGGCTTAGGGCTTAGGGCTTAGGGTTGAGGGTTTAGGGTATCGGGCTGGTTTGAGGTTTAGGGTTTAGTGCAGGGGTTAGGATTCAGGGTTCAGGGTTTCAAGAGGGTTTAGTGGGTAGGGCCTTGGGACATTTTCTATTTCCCTTATTGTGTTGAAGAGGATTGTTTTCCGAATATGTTTTCAGAGGGGTTGTGGGGCCAATCTAGTTTACGGTTTTGGGTTTTTGTGCTCTTTTGCATGCATTCGGGGGACCCTACTTTGAGAAGTACCCATCTAGGTCTTGCTCAAGCCCACCTGTCTTCGATGTCAACACACCCGCGTTAACACACCCAGGTCGACTACCAAAGTTCCATTAAACCCCAAACTTTGGGATGTTCCCCCTTCTACTAACAGTCCTTAATCGGGATTATGATAGGGCCCCTATCATAGTCCCTGTTAAGGACTGTTAGTATAAGGGGGAACATCCCAACCCAAACTCCCTAAGGCCCTACATAGCCATGATACGCTGCAGCCTCGGCTGCTATTCTTTGGGCTTTCAGGGCCCTTCATGCTGATGCAGGCGTCGTCGCGTCAAGCGATCTCATCACAGCGCCTGAGCAGTTGGCCAGTTGGAAGTTGGTTTAGGGTTTAGGGTTTAGGGTTTAGGGTTTAGGGTTTAGGGTTTAGGGTTTAGGGTTTAGGGTTTAGGGTTAGGGTTTAGCACACCTTGGAAACAAGAGATGGTGCAGCGTGCACCTGACATGTGCAGAAATTGCATGATGTCTCAGAAAACTTTCTGCACTGCGTGCCCTACGCTTTAGGGCATTGATTCTCTTAAGCCATCTGACCGGCGGATTCCAAACCCAAGCCTCAGAATCTCTGAATCTGACATTTGAATATCATCCCGAAGAGTTAGATCCTTGGCTGCTGCCATTGAGAACAATGGGTATTCTACTATTTGCTTAAGAACCCCCAAAAAAGCCAAAATGTTCTTCCTTATAAGGGCAACATAGGGATTCTGATTATTATTTTTCACGTTTATTATTTTGGGGTTCTTAAGCAAAAAGTAGTTTTAGTCATGCGAGCTCTTGCTTTCGTCTCTGCGGGCTTCCAAGGGTTGTGGCGTAACTTGCAGCTTCGGTTCAGGGTTTCTTTTCTGCTCGTGCACTTCGTAGAGATTTCAGCCCTGCGTGCAGCGCCGCTGCAAGAGGTTGCGCAGCTTATGCGCATACACCCGAACATTCGTTGCACACCGCACTGGCCGGTGCTCCTACCCAGCACACGGCACATGTTTAGCGTCCGGCGCCACCTGTTCCACGAGGGGATTGGGGTTGCTGCGGCAGCGTGGGGGCGGACTCGTCCAGGCACAGGAGCACGTAGCTAGAGCGGCTTAAGGTGCTCAAGCCCCACGCTGAGGCATACTTCCTGAGGAGCCCCTCTTGTTCTTGAGATGCGGAAGTAAGAAGCAAAATGTTTGCTGCGCATGGGCCTCGGGAGAGGCCCATGAAGGCTCCTCTCGTCGAACACGTTTCCTACTATTTGCTTAAGAACCCCCCCCCCAAAAAAAAAACAAGATGAACAGATTCTTTTTTCGAGTAATTCTTATTGCCTGTTATTTTGGGGTTATTATTACTCTACTTTTCGGGGGTCTTAAGCAAATAGTAGTTTGATTCCGAGGTCACTTCGTGCTGGCTTGACATGCATTGCATTCGGGCCCCGTATACTGCTGTTGCCTTCATTTTGTGGCGGCCCCCTGAAAGCTAAGCGCTTCATGTTCCCTGGGCCGTGTCTGCCATGTGAAATGATCGCAGTGCACTTTTCTTTACATTAGGGTTTAGGGTTTCGGGTTTAGGGTGAGCATCACGTAAGTTGCTTGACCGCCTCACCGGAGCAACCCCCGGCATCCGAAACGCGCGTACATGTTCCGCGCCTACCGTCCTTTGCTTATAGGGTTCTTAAGGGCGGGGGTGTTCAAGGGGGGGTAGGTACCTAGGGAACCCTTAGGGAAGCTTCGGGAGCCTTAGGGAGTACCGGGGGACCTTGGGTTACATGAACCCCCCTCCCTTAAGATCCCTGTCCCTTGAGCATCTTCTAGAGCAAGTCTCAAAGGATGCTCAAAAGAGCCGGGGCACAACTTCGGGCATGCCGAAGTCCGGACAGTTCGGAAACCGAAGGATCTACAACAACCCTCCAAAAAGGAACCCTCATTCTACAAGACGGGCTTCCCCAATTTCTATGGGACCCTAAACCCTAAACCCTAAACCCTAGACTTTAACCGTATATAAAGACCGTACATCCAAGAAGCCTCAACCTTAACCCTTAAAGGGCCCTCAATGCAAAATCCCTCAACGTAAACTCACGAAATAGAACCCTAAAACCAAGCACCCTCAACCTAAACTCTAAACTCGTAAGAGGTTTCGGGTTGAAGGTTTAGGCTTTAGGGTTCGTCAAAAGGGTTTAGGGTTTCAGGAAAAAACGGCTTGTTTTCAGCTTACCTTGGAACAGAGACTGTCAGCGCGCGCCATGGGCTGACTTCCAGCCGACGCCCTATGCCTGGCAGGAACCTTTGTCTTGCAGTGCGATGGAGTTTGGGACCCCCAAAATAATAAATGTTATCACACACACATATATGTATATATAGCTGGGTATATATCGATATATATATATATATACACATGCATATCATACAACTTTACCACATGCAATAAACAAACATAACACATACAATTATATAAGTGTTTGGCAGGGTTCCAGGGTGCCTGATGCTTTCATACAATTTGCACTCGAGCTCGGGGCAGTAGATGGGATAGACAAAAGGGAGATAGACCAGATTAGACACAGCTCGCCTTGGCTGTGGGCGACAATTGTTGGAGTTGACCTTGGGAAGCCCAAGAATCTAGGGTTTAGGGTCTAGGGTTTAGGGTTGAAGGGTCTTTGTTCCTCAATTTCGACGCCGGGTCGATCTTCATCCCGGATGGAAGAAGGCTCAATCCGCAGAAGCCCCTAGCCTAGCTCGACAACTGGACGACTCCACCCGGTTGAGACTTGAGGCCTAGTAGCCCAGTCTTTTGCCCTTTTTCTGGTTCGAGGATGCCTGAAAAATAGAAGAAGGGTACCCTTATCACGATATGGTTGCTGGGCTGCCAAGTAGGACTTTCGGGGTTTAGGAAAGACTTCCCGCCCTGCAGCTGCCGATGGGATGTACCGGTCAGGCTTTGTCAAGCTGGATTCGTGTCTGCAACGTTCCCTCCTGGGAGTATGGACCCTAAACTCGAACCCTAAACCCCAAACCCTAAACCCTAAACCCAAAAAAACGCCAGGATCAATGAGTGGCAGCTCTGGGCAGCCCCACACCCAGCAGAACATGTCGAGTTTGGTATGCTGGGTCAGCTGCAAGACCCACAGCAGTCACCATTTGCTTAAGCAGCCCCCCCCCCCCCCACAAAAAAATGCAAGAATAAAATGCAGTAAATAAATAAGTAAATTGAAATAAAAAAAGAGTATAGAATATTTATAATATAATATAATATGGTCCGGCGTCCCTGGCGTGTCCCCCCCCCCCCCCCCCCCCCATGGTATGGTCAGGTAGGGGGGGGGGCCGACTGTGAGCACACCCTCGGCAAAACCCGTGTGTTGGGAGTGTTGCACCTTCGGTTGAGGGAGCACGCCCTCGGGAAAACCCATGTGTGTGAGGCGCTTATCCCC